CTATTGAAGACCTCCGTTCTAAGCTGTTTCCATCATATTCTGACCCAAACATCTGAACCTATCAGCCGTAGTCCAAACTCGTTGGACCAGGTAAAGTTTCTCCAACCTGTTCAGGTCCATTTCTGTTTGGTCCCTGTCGCTGCAGAGCCTCGGCTCGTCTGCTTGATACCAGTTGGTGCTACTGGAGGCCAGTTTTCCTTCTGTTTCATCTGTAAACCTGAGAGATGGTTACGAGTTAAAGCACTTTGGGAAATACTCCGACCATCAACCATGCAGCGTTCCACTTTTCCAGCATGTCCTCCTAACCTCGTCTAGGTGCACAGTGCTGCCCTGTGATTGGTCGATTCAACAAACGAGTCCAGAGGTGTACCAAGCAGGCAGAACCGGTCCGAGCACTCGGCCCTGTGGTACACCATCAGAATCTCTGAATCTGCATTTTCTAGCTCAATCCAAACCACATCGACTGAGACGCGTTTCCATTTCCTGTCTCTATGCTGGCCAGAGGTACCGCCGTGCATTTCCTGTTCCTCCTGTATTCTGTAGTTTAGGGGACACGGCTCAATGTGCCCGTTGTTGTTTGTTTCCTCATTGACTTCCATTGCATATGCTCATCCATATTTAATGTGTGTGTGTGTTGGGGCTCATGCTGGTCGCCACCATCTGCCGCTCTGATACAGGCAGTGAATCCATGGAGTATCTGCCTCCAAATGGGAACCATTGATTTTGTCAGGAGCCCAAAATTAGATCCCGCCTTCTGAAGTGCTGAGTCTGTGTTCAATCTGAGGAAAACACCGCCTCCTGGGAAGGAAATGAGGGGAAAGCTGGTCTCTGTGCTTGTGGGAAATAAAAGGCCTCCTACAGAGAAGGTTATTTCCTGAAACATGAAGGGAATCCAGAATGAAGAAGTTTGAGACGATGTGTGAAGCCAGAAACCCCCAAACCTTCTGGGTTTTTACCCTCAAACCGATTCTGCTTCTACTGTGAGGAACAGAAAAGTTAAAACTAGCGAACTCCTCGTCCAGAGACCCTGATGATGCTGCAGGAACATAAAAGTCATCTGGAGTCATATTTCCTCCCTGATGTCATCACGAGCCACATTGTTTGTGGTTTGATTCAAGCTCTTTGAGGAGCGTCAGAGATGAATGGCAGGAAAACCTCAAGAACCGTTTTCTCTTTGTTCCCTCTGTTAATGATCTAGTTAACCCGGTTGGTACTTTGTCAACAGAACCTCCAGGTCCACGGCCGTGTTAAAGTTCAACAGCTTCTTTGACGCATTGTGATTGATTCCCATAAACACACTCTGCTTGCAGAACGTTTCAGCCAAACTGGTTTTATTGGTTGGGCTCAAACTGGCCCAGAACCAGAACCAAATCAGATGTGTGAAGGAATCTGACAGCACCGATTGATATGAGGTTTTAAGTGGGTCAGAGAGTTCTGGACAACTGGTCTGAGCTGTGATGTGTTCTTCTACGCCTTGGTACTGCATGTCTGAATTGCTGAAGATCTTCACTGAGCATGCTCCATAACCACATGTCCCCTGTTTCTGCAGCTCAGCGGCCATGTCTAAAGCCACGGTGAAGAAGCTGCACTGGCGCTCCAAGGTACGCCCCCCCCCTAGAGACGCCGGTCAGTCATAACTTCAGGACTTCCTGTAAGTAAAGACCTTCTTCCCTAATGTCTGCAGGTCCAGGAGAGCTTCGTTCCACTGGGTGCCGGCACCGGCTCAGGAGAACTGGGTCTGGCCGTTGGCGGCGGAGCTGATTATGGCGAGTTTCCATTCGTCACTGCAGCCCCAGGGGGTGGGGCTACGGTGGGTGACATCATCTTGGAGATCGGGGGGACGCCCGTGTTGGGGATGACGCTGGGCGACGTCAGAGGCGTTCTGAACTCCTGTCCTCATCCAATCAGGATTAAGACAGTGTCACCAGGTGAGACAATCACATTCAGGTTCAGCTCAGGAATGAAAGTTGTAGAAACGCAGTCAGACCAGTTCAGGTGGATGCATGAATGACATCACTCTGACATCATATCCTGTATTTATGTCTCAGGTTCCTCTCTGTGTAAAGACCTCAGGTTGTACCTCAGCAAGTGTTTCACTCCGGGCTCCATGGACAGTCAGCTTCAGCAGCTCATCAGGGAGAACCTGTACCTGCGCGCTGTGCCATGTAAGAACCACCTGAACACCCGATAGAACCACCTAAACACCCGATAGAACCACCTGAACACCCGATAGAACCACCTGAACACCCGATAGAACCACCTG